TTCTTTTTTAATAGTCTTGTCATATTCTGATATGGTTATGTGAGATATATAGAATATGTATATCTCACATACCATAAGTCAAAATATATTCTTCCTATTTCTGAAAGTTTGTGTAGAACTGGTATTTCTTAAATGCTTAGCAGAATTTTTTTATTTCTTTGTTTTGTTTTGGCTTGGGTGACTCTTTGAAGATTGGTAATTACAAGTATTATCTCAAAACTCCATCTCAGTTTTTTTTGAATGTTCTTTTTTCTCTGATTTAATTTCGGTTTCTATTGATCTGTCTTTAAGTTCACTCAGTTTTTTCTGCTGTTCTTCCGGCCTGGTATTGTTCATCTAATGATTGTCTAATTTTAAATATTACTTAAAATTATTTATATTTATTTGACAAAAATAGTATATATTTATGGTACACAAACATGATGTTTTGATATATGTATACATTGTGGAATGGCTAAATCATGCTAATTAACATGCATTAATTTAAAATATTTTATAATACCTATTTTATTATTAGTACTTTCATTTCTCTGTGGAAATTATCAAGTTTCTCATCCATTAGATCTATTTATTGCTCTAATTTTAAGAGACAGTTTTAGTAGTGATTTTACAGTCATTTTGGGGTTATCCATATTCGCATTATATAGATTTTGTTTTTCCTTTGCACAAAAGTTACATTTTCCTTATTTTTGCCTTGAATTGTAACTTTTTGTTGTGTTTAAAAACCGTGGAGATGCATACTCACTTCGGCAGTACATATACTAAGAAGATTAGCATGGCTCCTGCTCAAGAATGATGCAAATTTATGAAGCGTTCCATTTTCAAAAAAGAAAAATAATAAAAATAAAAACCATAGACTGAAGTAAATATAATTTCTTCCAGAAAGAGCGTATCTTTTTTTCTTATCAGGCAGTTAGAATGAAAATGAGAGGCTTTTTGCTTTGATCCAATAAGGAATTTAACAAGATTGTGGCTGATTTGCAGATCTAGTTAGTTTCAGATTGAATTTGTTTTCAAGATTTCTTGAGTGTGAAATCTTATCTCTATATATAAGAGGCCCCTCCTTCTTGCAGACTTTGACTCTCTATTCATTTTTCAGCCTTGCCTCTAGCTTCCCAAATGTTTCTGCAAGACACTGAGCAAAAGTCTGTGAATATTGGTGGCAGGAAGGCTCTGCTATCTCTGCACTTGGGGTTTCTAAGGTTCTACTCCATTATGCCAGCTCATAAGGCTGTTAAAAGTTTAACTGTTTTTCTCCCATACCCCCCGCATATTATTTCTGCCTAAATTCAGAAAGTGGTCCCAGGATGAAAGCAGTACATAGTCTCTGTTCACCCAAGAAGGGCCTGCCCCTCTTTGGAATTCTTTAATTCTTTGCATTGATAGCCCTCCAATGTGTTAAAAAATATTAATTTTTACTTTGTTTTTTCCTAGTGTTCTGGTGAAAGCAAATCTGTCAACAGTTGATGCCTTACTTTACTTGAAGTAAGACTCTGCAATTCAATTGTTGGGGAAGAAAGGAATCACGATGTGATGTTTGCATCCCAGAATTTTAGAGCATATTATAATTTCATATTGCGGTATTGCACAGAGTAGACCAATGTAGTTTGGTTAAACAGAAAAGAAACTCAAGAAATAGATTTTAGCTTGTGATAAAGATGATTTCCCTCAAAATTTGTAAAGTGTATTTAATATAGGAGATATAAAATACCTATGCGTTTAAAGAAAGTTAGAGCCTTTGTTTACCCAGTACTCCAAAAAGAGATTGTATAGGAGTTAACTTGAAAAATAAACCTACAAGAGTAAATATTTTAAAAGTACAAAAGAATATACCAAGAGATACAAAAAAAAAGAGAAAACAGAAACAGATTCTGCTTACAGCATTAATAAACTATATCTAGCATAAAATTAAGGAAAAATGATAAAGGAGAATAAAAATAGAATTTTTCTGTCTCAGGATTATTATTATTAAAATTTAAAAGTCCAACTCCAAAGTATATTTGTAAAATAAATATTTATTTGTAAAATAAATGATACACAAGTGTTATCACCCTTAATATATAAAAAGCTCTTATCAATCAACAAGAAAAAAGCAAATAGAAAAATACCCTAACAGGTAATTCACAAAGACATAACAATGGCTTACAAATATATTTTTTTAAATGTACATCATTTGTAATCAAAGCTGACTCTTTTTTTTAATATATTTTTTATTATACTTTAGGTTCTGGGGTACATGTGCAGATCATGCAGGATTGTTGCATAGGTAAATACGTGGCAATGTGGTTTGTTGCCTCCATCCCCCTGTCACCTACATGTGGCCTTTTTCCCCATGTTATCCCTCCCCAACCTCCCTATCCCCCACTGTCCCTCCCCTAGTGCCCTACAACAGACCCCAGTGTGTGATGCTCCCCTCCCTGTGTCCATGTGTTCTTATTGTTCAACACCCACCTATGAGTGAGAACATGCAGTGTTTGATTTTCTGTTCTTGTATTAGTTTGCTGAGAATAATTGTTTCCAGATTCATCCATGTCCCTACAAAGGACATGAATTCATCATTTTTATGGTTGCATAGTATTCCATGGTGTATATGTGCCAGATTTTCCTTGTACAGTCTATCATTAGTGGACATTTGAGTTGGTTCCAAGTCTTTGCTATTGTAAACAGTGCCACAGTGAACATACATGTGCATGTGTCTGTATGATAGAATGATATATAATCCTTTGGATATATACCCTCAAAGCTGACTCTTATAGCATTTTATTGTTCTCTTCCTGAGGTGAGAGGGGACTCAGCAATATTCTGATAGGCCCTTTTTTATTCTATGTATTTTAGGTATACAAAACAATGTTTTGATATACACAGTGAAATGGTTACTACAGTCAAACCAATGAACATATCATCATCTCACAGTTACTCTTTTTTTGTGCTAAGAGTATCTAAAATCTACTCCATTAACAAATTTCCAGAATACAATATTATTAATATATAATAAAATACTATTGTATTAATAATACAATACAACATTATACAACACAAGATCTCTAGACTTATGCATTCTTCTAACTATATCTTTGTATCCTTTGACCTATTTATAGCAACTTACCTTCAACCGGATTAAAAAAATATACATTTTTGCTCCATCCCCATTTTATGTATTTGATGTCACAATTAACATATTATTTCTGTTAAGGAAATATTGTATCTATCATTATTTGTAATACTTTTGTCTTTTAACCTTTATACAAAGTTATAAGTGGTTTATATGCCACCGTTATGATATTATTCTGCATTTAACTATATGTTCACTTTAAGCAGTGAATTTTATGCTTTTATGTATTTTTATGTTAGTAATTAGTGTCCTTTCATATATATGTATTTTTTTTAGATGGAGTCTTGCTCTGTCACCCAGGCTGGAGTGCAGTGGTGTAATCTCAGCTCACTGCAACCTCTGCCTCCCAGGTTTAAGTGATTTTCCTGCCTCAACCTCCTGAGTAGCTGGGACTACAGGCATGTACCACCACGCCTGGCTAATTTTTGTGTTTTAGTAGAGGTGGGGTTTTTCTGCAATTCCTTCAGTTTTCACCAAATCAAAGCTGTGCCATGTTGTGGGCACAAAGAAGAGGCCTGAACCCTCCCTTCTCTGTATCACACCTTATCACCTGGGTAACACCATGTGCCTTTGTTTCTTTGGGGAAATAGCTCCTTTCCCTCTTTCCTATAATCCCATCTATTCCAAGGTATGAGGCCAGAAACCAAGACAAAGTTATGCCTTACTCCAATTAACCCAATTACACTTATACCCAATTATCCCATTTCAAGAGCACCCTGCCACGCAATGTTCATCTGAACTATTTCTTGTTCCACATACAATGAATGTAGACAAATGGACACCTAAGCTATTGGTCCACTCCTTATCTTCCATGTCCAGATATAAAGTAATCTCTTTAATGATCATCTACAATACCCAACAACATATTCATAGGCTGAGTTAGGAATTAACCATGCTCCATTCCCTTATGTCTTCCTGAAAATCATCTTCAAAAGTGGTGAGAGCTCTCTACTTCAACATTTACTGTACTGCTAACACTTATTGGATCTTACCAAAATCTTACCAAAATTTGCTAATAGCCTTCATTTTCTTTCTCCTTATAAGTCTCTATCTTTACCTATATTCCAAAGACACAATGAAGCACAGCTAATTGACTATAGTCAATATATAGTGAAACAAGTTGCAGAGAAGCCCAAAAATAAGCATTATGAAATCTTAAAACTCTAAGCCAACAAATTAACTAAAGAGGCAAAAGCTTCCATAAGAAAGAGAACTGACCTTCTGAGCTTTTGTCCCTTGGGGAATATTAGTTTTACCTTTTTTGCTAAAATGATGGCAGCCAGGCTGGGAACTTAGGCTAGATTATTTATTTAATGTGACAGCCCCTCCTCTCCTTTCTCTCTCTCCAACCCTTTCCCCATGACCTTTCCAGATTTTTCAAGTTTTTTTTTTTATTAAACCTCATAAAAAAATCAAAATTAGGTGAATAGGTACTGAAATCTTGAGTTACCTTTTGTTGCTCTTTGTTTAAAAAAAATTTAAATATTTCCCAGATGATCTTTACCTATGGACATTAATGACAGCAATTGCAGCCTTTAAAAGATGTTAAATAATCTCACTGATGTTCAGAAAAAACAAAAGTTCTGTAGTTCCAACTGCCTGTGTGGCAGAAGGAAAACTAAATTCTTGAAAAATGCCTGTTGATTACAGCTTTCTCTTGTTAAAAGAGTGATTGCTCAATGGGAAACGGAAGATCACAAATCTTCCACTTTTGAAACTAAATGATAATAGAGTTTTAATACCCTAACAAAAATAAAACCTCCTCCTGAGTGAGCTACTCAAACCCTGTATTGCTTGAATAATGTGTTCGGTTAAGTAGGGAGGCCTGCAATGTAGTAATTTCTCCAAGGAGGCTGCAGGGAGAGGAAAGTACATTCCAGACACCTAATCATTTACAATTGAGTTTAATGAGGTAATAATTTACAGCTTTGGGGGTGGAAGTATGGAAAGGTCCCTGCCAGGAACTAGACAGACTCTTTAAAATCCTGGAGTTTAACGAAGGCATTGGAGGGTGGTTTCATACAGCCCAACTTGTGTAATTCCATCTGCTCAGTGCTTGGACAGGAAGTAAATGATGGGGCACTTGGGACCTACATCTGGAAACAACATGTTTCAGAGGATTTTATAAATCCTGCAGTAAAAGGAGAAGAAGAAAGAAAAAAACAGAGGTGAAAGGGCGTAATTATGGAGGACGAGGAAGTACAACAAAGAAGGGGCTTTGCAGGTTCTTTTTGGTGTGAAGAATAACATTTTCTAACGTCAAAGTCAGCCATTGATAATACTTGACAAAACCCACTTATCAAGCCTGATATGAAAACAGAAGGCACGGAAGCTTCCTTTTTGAACAGGATTTGGATGAAGGCTATAAAGTAGTTCAGGAACTACTGAACTTACCTGAAGACGCCTTTCTGGTCTTCCAGCAGTATAGCTGTTACTTTCTTTGTTGTTGTGATTCCTTGGTTCATGGTATACTGGGTTAATTTTGCTTTCTGTTCACTGTTGTTTTTTAAATACAGCTAGCACATGAATGGACTTTGCCTTAAAGAGACAGAAAAGACTCAAGACACCATGACATGTTGTAAGGGTAAAAAGTCGCTGCTAGACTGGCCTTTATATTGTATGCCAATGATTGACATAAATTGGGATTTGTTTCTTCTCACTTAGACTGAATGTTCTGTATATGCCACTTTATGTTACCCCTATTTCAACTCTTCCAAGAGTAAGTCTCATGCTCCACAATTTCCAAATCCTCAAATACATTCTCCTATTCATGACCAAGGGTTCTCATTCTTTCCTCCTCTTCTTGTTTCTGAATATTGGGAAGAAATGATGTTGGATCAAAGAGAATAGAGAGGAACCATTACATTTCTTGTCATTAAAGAACATGGATCTAGGTTAAAATTTGTTCCTTTGTCCGAGTGTTATAAAATATTTTAGAAGGAAATATTGGGTGACTATGTGCCAGGCAGGTAAGTGGTGTTGTCAAGAGAAATCAGATGCATTCACAGTGAGCCATGTTACTTACTGGGATCTCTATCACATTCACAATTCTAATCGTTTATAATGATGTTTGAACATTTACTCTATGTAAGGTGGTTGACATGCATTATCTCATTTAATTCTTTCAGTAACCCTATGAAACATATTATACTTTTATCTCCTTTTACAGGTTCATAGAAGATAATATAGGTACATAGAAGATAATAGCTTAAGGTCACTAGGATAGAAGGTAGAATGGAGAATTCAAACTCATGTTTTTGCTTATATATAACTCATATATCATAAGAATTAAGCCTACAGTATTGCCTTGAGTTTCATATGTTTGGATGTCATAGGAACTTTCAAAAGATTTGGCCAGAGTGATGGTCCTAATGACATCGAGGAAATACTTTCAATTCCTCCCAAAAGCAAAAATTTCTATTTTTAAGGTATGTCATATGATACTTAGACTACTGAGTACAGAAAAAAAGGCTTTTACTTTGTGTCATACTTTTTTAGACCATGGACCTTAAATCTAGCTCAAAGAAAAAGAAAAATTGATTTTCAAATGCTTTGTTTTCTTATTTTCCAGAGAAGGAACTGTTTTCCACGTCCTATGTTTGAATACATTCTTTTGCTGATTAAAAATCATAAACAAGCTTTTTAGTTTCTCAAGATGTATAGTCTATCTTTTGAAAGTCTGGGAAAAATACACTGGAATAATAATAATGCTTTGCAAAGCTATGTGTGTCTATCCACAATAAGAAACACGTGACAAGGTGTTTAGTTACGGTTCCAATCCACATGAACTGGGAAGGACTTTCGAGTTTAATAAATCTTCACATGTGTGACACAAACAAGCTCCAATATATTACACTAGGGTTAATGCCAGCAAGGAAATCTGAGAAGAGAAGTGCTAATAAGAGTGGAAAAAATTGGAAAGTTTTAATATTAAGTTCTCATTTCTTTCTTTTTCTGGTCTGCAGAATTAACAGCCTGATTATTGTAATTTCACTGGGTACTGCTAGTTTATTTCCAGTTTTGAGAATATTCCACTGCTAATCTTAGAAAAACCAGTCTCTAGCTTGGAAAAAGCATATTTAGTTACTCACAAAACTGTTTTCTTTCTTTAAAAGATCTCAGAACTAATAAAGTAAGCAATCTCCAATCTTCTGGACCAGTGAATACAAGCTTGCATTAGATTGCTGACATCAGGTGTTACTTTCTCGATGCCAGAGTTGTGATATATATTACCTCTCAAATACATTTGGCATGAGTCAAGCATATAAAAATTAAGTCCATTATTGATTTTTTGTTCTTTAGAGAAGTACACTAGTGTCCCATTTATCCAGCATGATTGGGAATTGAGATCTTTTATTAAATGGATATTTATCCAAAAATTTTACCTTCTCAATTCCAGTTTTAAACACTTGCGACCAGATTCTATGGGTATCTTGCTGGAATATATGCATTATCTGTCTATCTTCTTAAAAAGAAGATGGTGAATACAACTTTGTCTTATCTTCACAACCTCAGATCTTTGTTCTGAATGACATTGTGTTACCCTGTATTCTGCTGCATTGTAGAATCACTGCTGATGTGTAAAAGGCTATTGAGGTGTGAAGAGCTGTGTTAAGGCTGAACAAAACTAGACCAGGTCATTTCAGTTCTTGCAAAGGCCTTTGGAAATTGTGTGCATATATGTGTGGGGGCGTGCTCTCTCTCGTTCCATTCTCCTAGTTGGTAGCTTCTAAGTCTCTGTGGCTGGAATACCTCACTCTAAAACTTATGGCTCTGAGAGAAGCTGCTAAGCTCTGCCTGGCTAAGCTGGGACTTTGTGACATCTGTTTAGGTCATTTGGAAGCTGTGGTTGTTCCATTTCTCATTCTGGATTGTGTAGTAGATATCTGAGACTGCCAGATTACTCACCTCTGAGTAAGCAGGCAATGTCTAATGTTATGCTTATTTTGCAAAATATTAAACAACTTCACACTCTCCATCCCAAATCCTTTCTTTTTATTCTGTTGTGGACTTTACTAATGATACTACTACTTTCAGTCACCCCCATCAGAGGCCCAGGTTGTAGCATGGACCTTTGGGACAGGTGATTTTAAAGCCCAATATATCTGAGTTTGAATTTCTTTTCCCCAACTTGACAGTTGCATGATCTTAGCCATGTTAATTCATTCTATCACTCATTTAACAAATATTTATTGGGTACCTATTGTGTACCAAGGAACATTCTGGGCTCTTGGGATAGAGTGCATGGAATGTACAGCCTAGTTAGTTGACAACAAATGAGCAAGTAAATATATGGGTGTCAAATGGTGGTAGTGCAGGGGATATGTGGAATAGAGTGTAAGTGATTGAGATGAATCGAAGATGTTTATGAAACCTGCTTGGGAGGAAGGCCTGATAGGAATGTACCCACGAGAGGATGGGAAAAGCAGAATTGGAGCCACCATGGATAGACAAGCTTTTATAGAAGTCTTGTAGTAAAGAAAGGCAGAGATATGTTATGGTAGCTGGGGTAAATGAGGGTTTTGATTTAAGACGGAGCATTTTTGTAGGCTGGTATGAATGATTGAGTAAAGAAAGGAAATTGAAGATACAGGAGAGAGAGGAAACAATTGTTGAAGCAATGTTGTTCTTGAGTTGGCAAGACTGATGAAATCTACTGCACAAGTGAAGGGTGTGGCCTCAGCTCAGAGGCCAACAGGTCATCCACAGCCCTAGACTGCTAAGAACAAGGCACACATACCAATATGTCAGTAGATGTGGTAGCTGGTACATGTCAATGCCTATTCTGATTGCTTCTGTTTTCTCAGTGAAAAAGGAAGCAGGGTTATCATCTGAAAGAGAGCACAGGGCCCGTGCATAGGATACTTTTTCTTTAATTTTTTTTTTAGGAGACAATGTCTTGCTCTGTTACCCAGGCTGGAGAGCAGTGGCCCAGTCAGTGCACTGCAGCCTTGAACTCCTCAGCTCAGTTGATCCTCCTGCCCTCAGCCTCCTGAGTAGCTCAGGCTACAGGCATGCACCACTATACTTGGCTAATTTTAAAATTTCTTTGTAGAGACTGGGTCTTGCTATGTTGCTCAGGCTGGTCTTGATTTGAACTCCTAGCCTTAAGGGATCCTTACACTTCAGCCTCCCAAAGTGCTGGGACTGTAGGCATGAGCTACTGTGCCAGGCTAACATGGGTTATGTGAGGAGATAAAAAAGGTATGACTGGTCATCTTAGAAATTGAGTGAATGCACTGAAAAAATAGAGTTGAATTGCCAGGAGGCTCTAAGTGCCCATTTGAGATGCACGATCATCAATGTAAAACTTGGTCAGTTTCTTTTTATGGAACACACTTCCCTTATTTTTCTGCCTTTTATGAAGGATTATCATATTGTCATTTTCTTTGAATATTTTTGCCTCCATCCTCTTCTGCCATTCATGCGTCTCAATTTCTTTCCCCTGTTCCTTCATTCCTAGGAAAGAAATTACTGGCTTTCCCTGTTGACTTTCTGGAACGTCTTACACACATCTTTATGACAACAGTCTTAAATAAACTGTAATAATTTCTTTACATTTCTGCTTTTATCCTTACCCTCATTGTGCATGAATTTCTATTTCAGGTCCCTAGTACAATATCTTCACGTGATCAATTTTTAGGTAAATATTTACTGAATGGAAGAAGGAAGGAAAAATAAAAGTTCTACCTGCTATTTCTGTATATACAGTTCTTATAAATGGCTTCTTTCTGGTATTCAAAGATTAAAAATCAAATCACCCTTCCCTTTGTGTCTCTAGATACTAGCTAGCAGTGATTTTTCTTTGACTTTATTTTGGAGATTCCATTTATTTACAAAGTATTCATTGTTTTTCTTCTGGTGTCTAAATAATGGAGAACATTTCTTGGCTCCACTTTAATAAGACAAAGTTAAAAAAATATATTTTTTCCCTTTCAGACAATGGCAAATTACAGAAAACATTTCTAGGTCAATCAAGGCAACTGAGAAATTTTGATTTTGACCACAGCTGAAGCAATTTGCTGTGGGGATGGCTGGAGGCACACAGAGGTTCCTGAAGCCAGCTGGGGGGCTGTAATGGATTTCAGATGTGCCTGAATAATGCTGAAGATAAATGTCCCAGAGTTAGGTTATTGGAGAGCATTTTAGCTGTTTCTAATAAAATTTTCTTTACAATTCCAAGATTTTTTTCTACAGATGCATATAATAATTTTATCCTGATCTAATGGGCCTGAGTGGAAACTACAAACTTCCCATTTCTCCCTAATTATGAAGGGAATACACAGTCTTAGTAGAAAAATACAGATGACTATGAAAAACCAAACAAAAATAGTCACTGGATATTTACATACATATATTGATCTAGTTGGAATCATACAGAATGTAATATTATATATTAATTTTTATGTGATATCCTGAACTTTTCCCATCAAGATTATAAACTTTCGAGATATGATTGCAATAGTCTTATTATATAGCAGTGTTTTTTTTTTTCTTTTTTAGTTTCCCATGTTGTCTTGAGGATTCATTGAGATGAG